ATTAAGAAGTAAGAACAAGAGAAAAAAAAAAAAAAAAAAAAGAAAGAAGAAGAAAAAAAAAAAAGAAAAAAATAAACGAAACACAAAGTTGATGAGAGACAGGGGGGAAGTACGCAAATATTGTAAAGCATTTGGTAAACAGATAAAAATTGATGAAAAATCAGCTTCTCTCTTTTTAGTACCGATGTATTGTCGCTAGATGTATTACAGAGACGTAAGAAGTATTCTTCGGCAGTACCATTATAACAAATGCCTGTGTATTTTACTTCTCGGCAAATAAACCATCAAGTATTGTACGTTTCTGTGTTTCTTTTATCCTCGATCCTCTTTGTATTTAAACGAATTTCTATTACCAGCTATTACCATTTTTTTTTCTTTTTTTTTTTTTTTTTTTTCTTATTTTCCACTATTTCCCTACTTGTATTTACATTTTTCTTTACAATCGTTCAGTCGCAATTGTATTAATCATTTAATCATTGCTGCACTGGAAACGTTTTACAAAGAGAGCCACCTGCGTCGGATGGTATTTGAACAGGGATGTGGATCGATTCGAAGGCGACGTAATCTCCTCTCGATCGATCGCTGTGCTACGAGAACGGGCCGTAAGCTTTCCTTCGAATCGAACTGGAAAACCTTCGAGTATTCTCGTAAGCTTCGATGAGAGATTCGCAAGAAGAGGTTCCGCTTTGTTGAACGGGACGATTGCATATGCTGCATTGTCGTTGTCTTTGCGGTATCGGCTTTAGTCGCAGATTTGATGGAGATGGCGGTGGAGGAAGAGCGGGCAGGGGCGGAGGGGGAGGGGGTGGAGGGGGGGCCGGGGCGGGGTGGGTCGGGGAGGGGGGAGGGGGAGGGGCGGGCGAAGGGGGCGGGGGCGAGAGGGGGGAAGGAAGGGGGGGGAGGAGGAGGTGAGAAGGAACGGGGAAGCGGCGAAACAGACGACGATTTTGGATACGTTTGTAGAAAAGGTCTTTTGTGAGCTTCGAAATCGGCTAGTAAACGATACGAAGGTGGAATGTTGTATCGTATCCTTGCCAAAACGTGGCTCCGTTTTATCTCTGGATTGTTTTCAACTTTGGGATTGTACACTTTTTTCAATTCTTTTTGCGCTTGAATGGTTTCTCTTCTAGCCAGAGTGTGCTGAAGAGTGCCACGGAACCTGTCATACACGTCGGTTGTGCTTAATTTTACGCGACTACTTTTTTTCGAACAATTAATCTTTGAATTCTTTTTCAAAATGTCGGCCCCACCGCTTTCTCTGTGCTGCGTACTCTTATCGATGCATTCCCATATTTTGCCAAATCGTTCTAATACCTTTACGCGTCTACCAGAATTTGGCATTCTGACGGTGCTTTCCTGTAACGGATAATCGACTTTTCCTATTTCCAATGATTTTGAAGACACCACCTTTACGATTTGTCGTCCACCTTTATTTCCTACGATCTTGGCGATTTGTTCACTTTCATTCCCTACGATCTTTTTTTCGCTTTTCTTTCCCACGATCTCAACGATTTGCTCGCTTTCGTCTTCCACGACCTTAGCGATTTGCTCGCTTACGTTTCCCATGATGTTAACGATTTGTTTACTTTCATTTTCCACGTCGAGGATAGGTATAAACGGCGGCGGCGGCGGTGGGGGCGGCAAATTAAACGTCGAGGAATCATCCGACAATAAAGAAAAAATCGAGAGATGATTTTTCAACATAACAATCTCAGATCTAGTCGTTTTGGAAAGAAGTTTTCTCTCTTCGTCCGGTTTCTCCTCCTCGTCTTTATCTATATCTTCCAGCTGATGGGCAATTTTTTTCTTACTTCGAAAGTTCCTCGAGGATAAAGTAGATTTAATAACAGGTACGCTTTTTGATTTAACGGAGGAGATTTTCGAGCGAATTTTCGTTAAAACTTTCATACTGCTCTTCCTACTTTTTGAACGTTGCATACTTATTTCTTCCTCGTCCGAACTTTTCGAGAACGTAGTGGAAATCTTACTTCTCGATCGTTTTCTTTGCAACCGTAGTTTGCTTCTTACTCCGTTTTCAGGAAAATCTTCCGGCTTAAAGAATATCCAAACGTAGTAACGAGTCTTTTGAGGTCCTATATACATTTCGTTGCTATGAGCAGTTTGCAATAATCGTGAGAAAATCGATAAAAATATCTGAAAGACAAAGAAAGTATAATAAAATACCTGTAGGCTACGTTTTTTTTTTTTTTTCTTCTTATATGCTTACCTGATACACTAATAAAAGAACAAGATATCCCGCCAAGAATATTCGAATAACTTCACCTCGATTTATAATCTTCGATCTACACCCATTGGTACTAATGGTCAAATGCTTAGGATTGTAATCGTACACGGCACTGGGGCTCAGAATGTCGTGATGAATACAAGGTTTAGGAATGTCGTTGGAACAACAAGAAAAAGGTACGTCTACGGGCGTGGAAGTTTCTTCCTCTTGCTCCTCTGGTGCTGATCTTTATCATACGGTTTAAAGAAGGAGACATTCAAATATTAAGAATAGAGAATGGAAAAATTTTACAGAAAGAAAGAGAAAGAGAGAAAAATAATTTAGACAAAGAGAAAGGTTAAACGACAATTGGTTCGATTATACCCACTGCCCTTCCAGTCGAGGACCTTTCTGCACATCCTTTGGTCCCTCCATCGATAATTTAAGCCACGGAATTCGGAACCAATCCTCGTAACTGGTATCTCCGCAACATTCTAGTTCAGTTTGAACAGCGTCCACCCTCGCCTTTACGGCAATATCGATACCGTATTTCTCAATAGCTTCTATCAAGCCATCGCGACTCTTTTGCTGGAACCCGCTCAACAGAATCAAATAAGTCGCATTTAAAATCGCTACCAAAAATCCCGATAGTAAACAGGCAACCACGTGGAAGTAAAAAAGTCGATTTATATCTTGAGGATCCACCGTATAGTCGACTTTATGTTGATCCTCCAGATCGGCCCTCGTTGGTTCTAATTTCAAGCACAACCAACATTTGATTCCCAGGATATAGGCAGGAGAACAGCACAAGGCGGCGGAGAGTATTATTCCGGTCCATACGTGACCGTCACCTGCTCGTCGTGATCTGCACGTTAACCCACACATACAAACGAACATGCGTTACGCGAATTCTAAAAAATTCATCTTATGACCATTATCGAGAAATAGGAGAATTTTTTAGTACGAATCGTGTATTATTCACGCCCTTCGTTCGAATTCTTACAAACAGATTCCTTTATCAGATGCTTTTTGAACGAATATCTCTGAACGGTATAAAATTTCTGCTACTCTTCTGCCACTAGTCTCGAACCGTTGACGAAATTTATTTCGTCGATAAGTTAGGTAAAAATTGAAAAATTTTGCGATCAGCGCCATCTCGCGTTTGGATCACCGAAGCTCCGACTTGTTACTAGTATAGCAGGATATGCAAGGAGGTATTCGTGACGTCACCAGAGAAGGAAAAGGATATTTGGAGAAGGAGAAGGATAGAAAAAAAAACATGGCGCTATTTCCACTTCGAACACGTTACATTGAAAATTAATTAATAATTAATTTTTTACTAAAAATTTTTGCATTTTTAAGCTTACACCTTGAAGCTGAGATCTCAAAGAAGTTTCTCGTGTTAATTTTAACTCGAAATTCTATTTAATAAATTATTTATTAACGATTAAAGCGTCATATCGGATCGACGCCATCGATACGCAACGCGTATTTTTCTTACTTTTTCATTATTACGAGATTTATTTTTAAATATGAATATATGTATCTGAAACTTTGATTTTTCCTCTACTTTCACGTCTCATTTTTATTTATAAGTTTGCTATCGTTTAAATAAATAATTTTATTGTTTATCGTTCGATTATGGAATGGGAATTTGCGATCGATACACTCGATACATAATAATTGTTAATAATTGATTAATTAGGAAAAATTTTTACACTTTTAAGCTCACGTATCGATGTTAGAACCTCGAGCAATTTTCTCATATAAATTTTAACAGGAAATTCTTTTCTATTAATTATTTATCAAAGAGAACGTTTTATTCATAAATTTTCGATATATAATCGAATAATAAATAACTAGATAATTACGAATAAAAATTACAAATAAATATAAAGGAGGAAACAACGTTTGAGATGCATATATTCGTATTTATAAATAAATCTCATAATAGCGTGAAATTAATGAAAAATGTATTGCATATCGACGTATCAGTCCGCGTATGACGCATAAATAAATAATTAATAATTAATTAAAAACGATTTCCCGTTAAAATTTATACCAGAAACTTGTTTCAGATTCTAAGTTTGAAATGCAAGCTTAAAAATGCAAAAATTTTTATTAAAAAACTAATTATTAATTAATTTTCAATGCAATTTTCGAAGTGGTGGGAGGTGTAATGGCAGATCTTCTCTATCCTTCTCGCACAATATCGCTCTCTTTCTTTGTGACGTCACGAATACCTCCTTGCATATCCTGCTATCCTAGTAACAAGTCGGAGCTTCGGTGATCCAAACGCGAGATGGCGCCACCGGTACTAATTTTTCCATTTATTTTCTTTCTTCGATTTATGGACAAAATATATACACTTCTGTATCTGTTCGATCATATACAATCATATTTTTCACACGTTGTTTTTATTCCATATTATACAATTATATTCTTCCGATGTAAAATTGTATAAATTCATAATAAAATTTCGTATTAGGAGAAAATAATCCGAGAAAAAGTGGCAGAGAGCAAAATTTTATACACATTTTATTCATATAATCAGTGATACACCGACATATTACCGAGCGATCACGAATTTTTATTTTTGTCGATACGCACGTGTCTCGTGTATTTTATTTTTCATGTCACTTTTTTATAACGTTCAAAACCACGATGTTTAATTCGTGTATTTTTCGAAGCTATCATTCACGATATCGCTAATTCAATAGATAGACAGATAGATAATCAAGGATGACGCATTCTCGATGTCCCGATTCTATATCGTCGAAAAGTCGAGATAATACCACGTTTTAAAAATTCTTATGGGAAAATTCTCGGTATCGGGGGGGGGGGGAGGGATTAAGGATAGCCTGCACGTATCCATCGGACCGTCATCAATCAAGTTTAAAACGTTTTTGTGCTTGTGGGGACCAACCTGGAGTGATGAGATTCAGATAATCGCCAAAGCCTCTTTCGAATCGTACGGCCCAGAGGATGGCAAAAGCGAGGGCTATCAGCCCGGCCAGGTTCATAGAGAAAACGGAAAAGTAGAGTGCTTTCACGGAAGGCCAGCTATAAACGGCATTTACCAGGCCCATGTATTGTGCAGTTTATGATCGTCATCGTAGACAGTTTGTGCGGTTCCCTTAATAATCTCTCTCCTCTAAACGGTCACAATGAATAATTTACACCTCTGCCAAACTTGTCACCTCTGAAGTGGCTCGCGCTACAATTCTTTTGCTGCTACCTTTACGCTCTAATTTCCATCGATCGCGCCTAACTTCAGGACGCGTTTCATATCCAAGATTTCTAACGTACAAGGTTTTTTTTTTTAATTTTTAATTAAAAAACCAGAATATTAGAAGACTATTTATTTATTTATTTATTTATTTATTTATTTATTCATTTATCCATAAATTTTCTTTTCTCGTGGTAATATCGATCTATATCAGCACTGTAATGCAGATAGATAGGATTAATAATCATAGATGTTACAATAATAAAAATACAGTGATATTAAAGTAATAAAATTACACGATTACAATAGCTGTATCAAGTAAGTGAATAAGTAAAAATATATATATATATATATATATATAATATAATATATAATATATACTGCATTAGAATTTGTAATATTTCTTAAAATACGTGCACAAAACGTGGATAAATCATAATAATACAATAATAATATGATAATAACAACTGATACTCGGATTGGCCTCGTTAAAAACTATAAAAAACAGTAACAACAACGATGAGAATTCGCAATAAACGTGTATATGATTATCGTTATTGCGAACGGATCGTCAGAATCATCGCCGATATATATATATATATATATATCACATATATATATAATCGGCTGCAATAGAATAGAAACGAATGCTACACGTGTTTCATCCCCTCTTTATTCCCCGCTCTTTATCTTTATTAATTATTTTTCTCGCTTTCAACAATAATAATCCTCGACTCGTCGTCGAGAGACGATAATCGATCCCTTTTTTTCTATCCCTTCCTCATTTTTTATCTTAACCGATCCGCGCCGATCTTAATCGATGAAACGCGCCACTCGAATATTTTGTTCATCTGACGGTAGATAAAATCATTATTGGAATTATGCTCTATTATAGTCAACCGAATGTCAGGTATATATATAATTATCGCAAAACGGCGCAGAACCGTCATCTATCTTTCTTTCTTTCTTTCCTTTCTTATTTTCTTTATACTTTATATACTACATACTTAAACACTAACACCCTACAAATGCATTGGCACTTTCGCATGAAAAATCTAGGATCGCTGGATCGAATACGGCATGTTTTATAACGTTATTTAGCATAATTATACCAATGAAAAAATATCGATATACAATATTTTGAATTCGGATACTCGCACGATCGAATAGAAAAGAAACAACTGTCCCGAATCATGTTTATCAAGTATACCTATAAAGTAACGCTTTGGCATCTCATTCTGCCTTTCTTCTTTTTTTACTCACGCCCTTCTATATTGCAACTATTTTTCCATTCATTTTTCTTTTTTCACGAAGAAATAACCGTATCCCAAACAGATCTCGACCGAATCCTTACCTAACCCTCTCTAATCACGAGCACGGTTTTACACGAGGTTTCGATCGAGCAGAGTTCCAAAAAGATCGGGCTCGACCTGGAGCAATCCGCTCACCGACATACTCGTCTCGTAATCGAACGTGTCGAACGGCATGATCGGCGAGGAAGGGGACGACACTATCGATCCTGCCCCGTTTATGAACGCGTTGTTGGATATCTCGTGTTTCCTCGTGGCTGGGCTCAGTTGGTCGTACGACGAGCCGGATGATCCTCTCGAGTCCGGGCATTGGGGCACCATTTGATGATTGTCCAGGTTCACAGAGAGCGGGGACATCAGGCTTTTCGGGTACATCGTGGGCACGTTCCGCGACTCCATCAAGTTTTCCTGAACAACCTTTAGAATCGATCATATTATCATCTTTGTTCTGCATTTTATTTATTTATTTTTTTTTTTTTTGATTTAATGCGTCGTTAAACGTCGTGGCGCGATGCTTCTCGCTATTTTAATCGATTCCTCGACAGGAGGAGAGGCGATACTGATTGCACAAGGATGCGGTTAGTGATATTTGACGGATGGTTTCGTCAATGAAACCAGTGAGTTACGTCATAGAGTTTTTTTATTTCAGCTCGAAGCATCACCGTTCGTGACGCATCAACCTCGGCCCTCCCACGAGCACGTTGTGTTTTATATATATATATATATTATTTTTTTTTTAAACGAGGGCTGCTGCGTTTCGAAAGACCAGGAAATTGGGAGATCAGTTTTCTTTTAAGTGCGATTTCGTCAAGATGCGTTTCTTTCGCGTCTACTCGTGCGCATACAATCGTTTCATCGATCAAAGATTTTAATATTTGACGAAAAACAGATTCGTTCGAGGCTGATATATAAACGCGAATTAATTCTCTTAATTAAACGATATATTTTTTCTATATAATAATAATAATAAATGGTGTGTATATATATATATATTGATAAATCATAAATGAGTTGTAAAAAAAAAAATATAAAACCATCGTTTCCTATCGTTTATTCGAAATGATGAATTAAAGAATCGTTATTTCGCGATGTCATTTATCTCGCTACGTACATGAACGTTCAAAAATGTAGTTTTCACTACTCGGAAGGCAATCGATCCAATAATCTTTGAAAATAATCTCTAATTTATTATTACCACTACGTTTTACAAATGTAAAGGGGAAAAAAAACAAAAAAAAAAAAGAAAAGAAAAGAAAGAGAAAGAAGAGGAAAAAAAAGTTAAAATAATCTAAT